GTTAGTCACTTGGACTTTTGAAGCTGAAGAAGCTTTCAAAAATTGCAAAGAAGAACTCTTACGAGTCACAACTTTAGCGCATCCGGCTTCAACTGTACCTCTTATCCTCACTTGTGACGCATCGGATTTTGCTGTAGGTGCATCTTTAGAACAAATAATTGATGGGATTAACAAACCAATCGCATTTTTCTCAAAGAAATTGGACGACACTCAACGTAATTATAGTACTTACGATCGTGAACTTCTTGGTATTTATTTAGCCATCAAGCATTTCAGGTACATACTTGAAGGACGTCAGATTCTTATTCGGACAGATCATATACCTTTCATTCATAGACCTTTACCAATCATAGACCTTTAATTTATGCTTTTCAACAAAAATTGGATAAAGCTTCACCCAGACAGATCCGACATCTTGATTTCATTGCTCAATTTTCAACAAACATCGAGCATATATCTGGTAAACAAAATGTAGTTGCAGATTCCCTCTCAAGAATTGAATCCGTTTCGATGCCAATCATAGTTTCTCTGGAAGAGTTAGCAGAATTACAAAAAGAAGATGAGGAATAAAAAACACTTCTCACTAATTCTTCTCTCAAGCTTCAAAAACTTATACTTACTGGCTCGACTACGTCTATTTTCTGTGACTGATCTACCGTTAATATTCGTCCTTATGTACAACAGCTTCGTAGGAAAATTTTTGATGTTGTTCATGGTTTATCTCATCCAAGTGGTCGTTCTATCTGCAAACTAATACAACAAAAATTTATTTGGCCAACTATGAAGAAGGATATAAAGGAATGGGCTAGATCTTGTCTGCCTTGTCAACGTGCCAAGATCCAAAAACATACCAAGAATCTTCCTCAAAAGATTGCTATTTCGGATCAACGTTTTCAGCACATTCATCTAGATTTGATTGGTCCTCTTCCTATTTGTCAAAATTTTCGTTATTGTTTAACCATGATTGACAGATTGTCTAGATGGGCAATTCCTCTAACTGAAATTTCAGCAGATACTGTTACTACAGCCTTTTATACGCACTGGGTTGCGAGGTATGGTGTTCCTCAGATGATCACAACCGATCAAGGTCCTCAATTTGAAGCTTCATTATTTAAGGCTCTCACCAACCTAATTGATTGCGAGCGAATTAGAACCTCAGCTTATCATCCGACTTCCAATGGCATCCTGGAACGATGGCACCGTACATTGAAGAGTGCTATTATGTGTCACGCAAATGAAAATTGGATTGAGATTTTGCCAACTGTTTTACTTGGACTTCGTACTTCTTTAAAGAATATTTGAATACATCTCCTGCGGAAATGCTTTATGAATCTGCATTAAGATTTCCAGGAGAATTTTTCATTGAAGAGGGTCTTCCATCTGACTGAAATTTTCATGGAAAAACATAGGATACATATGAAAGAGATCAAATCAAGACCTACTGCACATCACCACAAAAAAAACATCTTTCTTTCATAAAAATTTATATGATTGTACTCACGTTTGGCTTCGTAAAGATGCAATTAGAAAATTTCTTCATCCTGCTTATTCTGGTCCTTTTCGCGTTGTTAATAGAATTAGTAATAATTTATTTGCAATCGATGTTTTAGGAAAAATTGTTAATATCACCACAGAACGTCTTAAACCAGCCTTCCTACCGAAAGAAACCAGCACTGATTTCATTGTCATGACATCTCCTTCTTCTTCTAATTCACCTCAATCAACTACACTCGGAAAACACCTCAAAACATATTCTGGCCCAAAGAAGAAAGTTAAATTCGCAACGTAGAACGTCGCTGGGAGGGGAGTACTATGGCGTTCCTGCGGCTAAATTCAAGATCATTTTGTTACCAACTTCATAAAATACATTTGTAACTATTTATACACATTTATACACATTTATACACATATATATATACACATTTCATTTATTGATTAAACATTTTACATAACAACATTAAAAACATACAACAAATTGTGAAACATTTATTCATTCGTTTATTGGCCATCATCCTGTAAACATCGTTCTTGAATATTAAATATTTTATATTATATTACCGAAGTCTAGTTATTTAACTATATCGCTCCCACAATACCAACGTTAATAATGCTATCTATTGGCATTTTCTAATGACTTTAGATAGCCATTATGATGTCATTTTGATATTATTGCGATTTTTTGTTCTGTTTGAGTTGCAAAATACATGACAAACTACATGAAGCTAATCAGCAGAAATTAATAAATATGATTATTTTTAACTTTTCTGAGTGTATTTTGTTTGTAAATCGTTTGTGATTGATTGTAAGTCTGTTTTTAACGTTCGTGACAAATTAGGTTTTTTGTAATTAACAGTTTTAGTTTAGTCATGATGTCAATCGATACTTTTTAGTAATAAACAGATTTTATGATAACTGATAACTGTAATCGACAGGAAATCATTTGTGATTTACAAATATACCAATGTTATGTTTATGAATTGATAAATTTTTTAATTACGTGCAAAATAAGTTTATTTTATAATTGTAGTGCGCATGCGCAAAGTATACTTAAACTTTGAGACGCGTGATGATTTCCGCCACGCGTTAGGCCGGATTCACACCTTGGCAGAAAAGCAGAAAGCAGAAAAGCAGAGGCCAATCAGAACTTGCGCTAAAAAAGCAGAATGTACTCCTTATTTTCAGCGCGAGTTCTGATTGGCTTCTGCAAGATTTTAAGCCTTAAGCCTTAAGAAATTGACTAATCACAGTTGAGTATTCTCTTCATATTTGTCCGTGATTGGTCAATTTCTTAAGGCTTAGAGCTTAAATCACTATTGTAGACCGACACTTAGGCCGGATTCACACCTTGGCAGAAAAGCAGAAAAGCAGAGGCCAATCAGAACTTGCGCTAAAAAAGCAGAATGTCTTCTGCTTTTCTAGCACGAGTTCTGATTGGCTTCTGCTTTTCTAGCACGAGTTCTGATTGGCTTCTGCTTTTCTGCCAAGGTGTGAATTCTCCCTTAGGGTGATATTACATTTGTCGTATGACAAACTTTTTAAGCGCAGTAATTAGCTAATTTCTAGAGATTCAAGAAATTTTCTATTTTGCAGCCAATCAGTATGCTTAAAAAGTTTGTCGTACTACAAATGTAAAATCATCCTTACCCTTAGCCCGGATCTACAATAAGTGTAGTAAGTCTCAAGCCATAAGAAATTGATTAGTCACAGTCAAATGTGAGGAAAATAATCAATTGTAGATCCGGCCTTACACTCCTTGATGCGCTCTCTATGGGCAGGAGCCCATATACTTTGCGCATGCGCATTACAATTATAAAATAAATTTATTTTGCACGTAACTAAAAAATTTATCAGTTCACAAACGTAACATTGGTATATTTGTAAATCACAAACGATTTTCTGTCGATAACAGTTATCAGTTATCATAAAATCTGTTTATTACTAAAAAGTATCGGCTGACATCATGACTAAACTAAAATTATTAATTACAAAAAACCTAATTTGTCACAAACATTAAAAACACATTCACAATCAATTACAAACAATTTACAAACAAAATACACTCAGAAAAGTTAAAAATAATCATATTTAATAATTTCTGCCGGCTAGTTTCATGTAGGTGCAAAATACATGTGTCTTCAAGCGTACCTGCCCCCATAGCAAATGAAGTCACAGTGACATCACAATAGACTCACAATAGAGTCATAAGGTCACAAAAAAATTGTGATGTTACTGTAACATTATTAGAAAGTTGCAGTGATATCATTAACTATAGTCGCAGTGATATCATCATAATATAACATAAAACGTCACAGAAATGTAATAGCAACATTCCAGAAACATTCTAAAAACAGTATTTAGTAGACGCTAGTTCGTTCGCTTATCACTATGCGACGCACTATGCGCTCTATCTCGCATTTAAATTTTAGTCATGAGAATTATATATAGCTCTTACAAAGTGGCTAATAATATACATGTATTAAAGTTGTAATAACTATTCCTATCAGTTTGATTTCTGATTCTAGGATTTGAATCCCAACACAAAGAATTCAAATATTAAACTGATTGTTCAGAAATCGGGTGGATAAATATCCGAATAAATGAAAATCATTTGTATATAATCTACTTAAAATGTAAAGTTCACTTTCAATAAAAATAATGTTATGAAATAAATTAATTAAATTTAATTATTTAATTATTTAGTTAATTACATTGGGCCATGTTTTTATTATATATATATACGAATATGTTTGTATATTTTAAAAATACGAGTATATAAACTATATATGTATATTGAGTGAACTAAATTTATTTTATAAAAAATCATATATATAAGACCATTTGATGTGTGCGTTTAATATGTAAATTGCATCACTGTAATATTTTATTTCACATCACAATGATGTCATAGAGACATCACACTTGTGACAAAGCGGACATTCGCATGTCACCATGACTTCATTGTGACATTCGATTGTCACAGAGCAATATCATTATGATATCACTGTGATTTTTTTTGCTATGGAGGTGTAGGCCTATTCTCTAACTTCGTAACGACCACGTCGCTATCGTTACGCAGTTGAAACCATAGACATAGTATATCTAGACCGAGCGTTTGCCTTTATTTAAGGAGTAGGGGTAAAGATGCACGTAGAAAAGGACATACTCTGTTTCGTGCCCCTTGCGTTCTCTCTCGCTCGCACGTAGCATAGCGAAAGAGTACGCTATCCTACATGCGAGCGAGAAAGAACGCAAGGGGCACGAAACAGAGTATGTCCTTTTCTACGTGCACCTTGGCCCTCATTCCTCAACACTCGGTCTAGATATACTATGTCTATGGTTGAAACATATCGGAAAATAGCTGCGCAACGACGCGTAACGATAGCGAATTTGTCGTTAAAAGTTACAGAATAGGGCTGCTGATCCGCCATATTGATTTTTTGTGAAGGTAGTTCATATTTTTCGAAGGCAGACTTATAGATGGCATTACTAACGCTAGTATACATTTTAACAAAGGAGTTTGACCACCCTGCTCACACCCGCGATACCTTGCGTTCGTCGAAGAAAAAAATAACCGCCGTGTCTCTGCCGTTCCGTACGTATCTCTTTCTGGAACAATTACTCACATATCGCGAACTCTCTTTCTCTCTCTCTATCACCCTTCTAGCAACAATCTACAGGCAGCTAGGGTGCCTGGGTCGATAACCTGTTATGACTTGCAATCGTTGCAGGTTCTTTTTTGAAAGGAAAAAAGAGAGAAATAACTATGTTCTCAATCTTTAGAAAAGTGCTAAAAAAACTTATTATTATATATTATATATATATTATATTAGGCTTAACACAAAGACGGGACTCTTGTCCTTTCTCATGTGTGGCTGACTCGAGTTATCGATCGCAACCCATACAGCACAGAACATTGCAATTACATTGCAGGAATGTTACAATCTTTTGCAAGTTGCAATGTAATATCGTTGAAACATTATTGGAACATGTAATTGAAATATTTCATGAAAATGTTACAGCAACATTCCAAAAACATTACAAAAAACAGTATTCGGTAATCGCCAGTTCCTTCATTTACCGCTATCCGGCGCGCGTTGAATTATCTATCCTACATTAAAATTTTAGTCGTGATGATTATATAAAGCTTGCAAAGAGCGGCTAGTAAGATTAAAGGTATAATAACTGTTTTTATCAGTTTAATTTGTCTGATATGACCCCAACACAGGGAATTCAAATATTGAACTGATTGTTCAGAAATCGAACAGAAAAATGTCTTCAGTTTACTGTACTCTACCCGCTCACGAGCGTTGGCACAATCTTTACCAGATACCCTGTATACATATACATATTGTGCGTATAGTAGGAACAATACAAATATGTGTATATTTATTATGCGTATCGTAGGAACAATATTCAAACACGAAGGGGAATACACAAAAGCTTATGCAATCTCTTTGAAAGAAAAGGGGTGTACGGGTGGTCTAGGACACCCTGTATATACAGGGTATCTGATAATAATCGCTCCACCGGTAAGGTGCAGGTAGAGCGGATTAAACCGAGTAGAAAAGTCCTCTACCGTTTTGCGATCTTCGCAATAATTAATGAGAAATTAATTTAAAAAGATCGATCAATTCACGCAAGTATTACCGCGCAGTGAGAAAAAATGGCTTCATATGGGCGGCATTGATATGTGGTTGCTAGGACGTGAGAATCCATCGTTATGTATCGGTCATACGTAACTATCGTCATTTGTAGAGCACTCCTCTCAAAACTTTGTCACGTGCCTATTTTTGGGTTGTCTCTTCTCGCTGCGCGCTTATACTCGCATAAATTGGTCGATCTTTTTTAATTAATTTCTCAATAATTATTACAAAAATCGCAAAATGGTAAAGAACTTTCCTTCTCGGTTTAACTCGCTCTACCTGCATATTACGGGTGGGGTGATTATTATCAAACACCCTGTATATATATACAAGCTATAAGCATATGTAATGAAAAATAGGGGGTTCCATTTAAAAAATTCAAAGTGATTTTAACGTGACCTTGACGATGCTATTCAAGGTCCTACTAATATTATTATATAATGCGCCACTTAGAGCTCTACAACTTTTGCATAAAACATTTTTCACGAAAATGTGTAAATAATTACATACTTTTTCTTAAAAACAATTATTTTTTTTTTACTAATTGATTTGTCTCATTATTCTGTACATAAAAGTGTTAGGGTAAGATTATCGAAAACTAAATATTTTACGAGATATTTTATTTTTTATATCAAAATATGTCAGATTAAAATATAAAATAACTCAAAAAGTACTTAATGAAAAAATACTTTATTATATTGTTTTGGAAAGCTCTTGAGGTAAGCTATAAGAATATGTAATGAAAAATAGGGGGTTCTATTTAAAAAATTCAAAGTGATTTTTACGTGATCTTTACGATGCTATTCAAGGTCCTACTAATATTATTATATTGTATAATGCGCCACTTAGAGCTCTACAACTTTTGCATAAAACATTTTTCACGAAAATGTGTTGTTAATAAAAAATGGGGAGTTCCTTTTAAGAAAACATCGACCACGTTGACCTCACCTTGAAAAGACCACTTATGGTCAAATCCATATTTTTATCATGTGTCCCCCTCGAAACCATGCAACTTTTGTCTGAAACATTTTTTGATATCTCACTTTGTTTCCGAAAAATATGCCCGCGTCACTATAAATGCCGCACCCTGTATATACTAGGGCTGTATGATAAGTACCCGTGTTAGGGAAGAAAACGCATTTTTTTTTTAATTTTTTGTATTTATTTCTCAACATAGTCTCCTTTCAGCTCGATACACTTAGTCCAGCGATATTCCAACTTTTATAAGCCATCCAAAAAATATGATTTGTCGAACTCTGCAAAATAGACCTCTGTTTCGGCGATGATCTCTTCGTTTGATGTCGATGAATAAGGATGACGTGGAACCGTCGGAAAGACGAGCGTCTTGACAATATACAATTTAATGAAATTATATCTAATATTTCCGCAAGCAACGGAGGGATAATCTCGTACGAGGAGACCGCATTGTCGAACGATAAGACCGCACAGAGAATCGGTGAATCGCGGGCCGCGAAAGCGCACTGGATTCACTGTCGCGACGAAACTTAGCCGAGCAGCGCGAGAAGAACTACGCGTACGCGTTGATTACTTTTGGTCAAGAGCCGGCCGCGCCTTGTACGCGCCTCTTTTATAATCTTGAATCCTTCTAGAAGGATCCAGAACGTATGATCTACTTTCCTTTGTCCGATACACTTAGTCCAGCGATATTCCAACTTTTATAAGCCATCCAAAAAATATGATTTGTCGAACTCTGCAAAATAGACCTCTGTTTCGGCGATGACCTCCTCGTTTGACGTGAACCGCTTTCCGCCAAGCCATTTTTTCATGTTTGGAAACAAGAAGAAATCGCAAGGCACAAATCTGGAGAATACCCAAGCAGAACAGAAAATCACAATAATATCAAATGACATCAAGATGACATCAAAATGGCATCAAAATGACATCGAAATGACACCATAATGACTTTTGATAGTGTTAGCGAGAGAGAGGTGGACGCGAGAGTGAGGAGCGCCGCGATATTTGATCTCGATGAATAAGGATGACGTGGAACCGTCGGAAAGACGAGCGTCTTGACAATATACAATTTAATGAAATTATATCTAATATTTCCGCAAGCAACGGAGGGATAATCTCGTACGAGGAGACCGCACTGTCGAACGATAAGACCGCACAGAGAATCGGTGGATCGCGGGCCGCGAAAGCGCACTGGATTCACTGTCGCGACGAAACTTAGCCGAGCAGCGCGAGAAGAACTACGCGTACGCGTTGATTACTTTTGGTCAAGAGCCGGCCGCGCCTTGTACGCGCCTCTTTTATAATCTTGAATCCTTCTAGAAGGATCCAGAACGTATGATCCACTTTCCTTTGTCTTAAGGGAGCGACAATTATGATAGGAAAGATTCGCGGTAGTTTTTTTATTAACGGGGGCTGGCAGCCCCTGATTGGGCGCCACTGATG